GCGGCTGCCGGGGCGCGGGGGCCGCCGAGGGGCCCGCGGGGCTGGAGGCAGCGGCCGGAGAGAGGGAGGGGGTGGTCCTTTTCAGCTTCTTTTTGTTTGCTTGGGTTGGTTTGGTTGTTGTTCGTACATCTACGTTACGCTGCCGTGCTACGTTAGACCGCGGTTACCGCTCCTGGCTGTCCGTGTGAATTTTGCATGCGCGGGAACAGCCACGCTGAATTAGATCTGTGCCTGTAACTTGAATGACCGATATATGCAGAAAGCATTAGCCGCTCCTAATAACCTGTTTTCTCAGTGCTGTCCCTGTTGTCTTTTTATTTATATGTTCACTAAGTTCAGCTCAATAATCTAGAGAAAATTAATGTTACAAATTGAAAAGATATTAGAAGTACGTTTTTGTTCCCCTTCCTGACAGTCAATGGAAAAAAATGTCCTCTCTAAGAAGTAATACAACGCCTGCAACGGCAATGAAACTGAATTAAATTGAAGCTATTTTGGAAAGCTGTTTAAGAACGGGTCCGTCTTGTACAGGAGGTGGAGCGTTAGGCTGGTTTTGCTTAGAAAAAAGAACTTACTCCAGTTCTCGAGTGAAAATGCAGAATGAAACTTTGTTGACAAACTAGCGTAGATGGAAGTAAATTGGTAATGTTAGAAACTGAGATTTAAGGAGAAAAAAAAAAAAATCTCTGCCCCAGAGCATTTCAGAGTCCTTCTAATCTAACTGGAAATAAATATGTTTTTCAAAAAAGTTAACTTGCACGATATTTCCGAAATTGTCTTTTTAACTGATTTAACAGAGCTCGGTACAACTCTGATTTCAATTTACCTCCCCCTGCCCCAAGAAGTGGTTCTGAGAAAAACAACAGGAAAGATGTCTAAAAACTCTGTGTCTTACAAAGGATTTATTAAACCATTTAGTTTCCAGCTAACTCACAGTTCTTGTCTTTATCAACACTGTGCCTTTTAATACTCATTATTCACCAATTTGTTGAGTGCTTGCATAATTTGTGTAAAATTTAGAATAAAATTCTAGAATGTCAAACATGTTGCAAAAGTAATTTTGTGTGCATAGAGCCTATATAGAGAAAATAACTTTCCCTTCACTTTGCTGTATTGTACTTTAGAAATATGTGAAAAAAGTAACTTTCCCCTGAAATACAAATGTGAAATTTCATGTGAAACTTAACTTTTTTTCCATAAGAGAAGTTTAGTATTTTGATTATGTCAAGAAAAATAACCAAAATTATTAGTAACTTTTAACCTAGGCACAAAGAGTAACCTCATTATCTGATTAAGAAAAAACATTCTAAAATGACAATGCCAATGGTGAAGGCTGATATTAGAATTTGATGGCTTGCTGTCATCACATGTTAATATTAGCTTTCATGTTGATCTGGCCCTTTTTGAATGATTCTCCTTAAGCTTTGTGTTACATTCTTATTGTGAATAAAGGAAAACAGCAAGCGGAACAAATATTTTTAATAAAATCCGGATTCCAAGCAACTGCAGTTCATGGAAAAACACTGGAATCAGGAGTAAGGCCTGCTTTTACCAAGCAATACCAATCATAATTCTTGTATTCTTTCTATCAGCCTAGGAAAAGTTATATTATCCTTGATAGGAAATAACTCAGGATTAGAATAGGATATTTTTTTAAATTGTAAATTAAGTATTTTAATTATAGTAGGTTTTTTTCTGAATTTCAAATGCTATCAAATAAAACATTTATTCTATTTAGTAACAGATGAGTAATTTTATCGTGTGTCACTAGGTGATGCTCTGCTCCGCATCTAGACTTACAACACAGCATTCCGGATTGGCGAGAAGTTGTTTGTGCTATGGTTAGCTAGTATTCACAGATGAGGATTTTCATGGTACAGTTGAAGAGAATACCAGGAAGCAAGGCTCAAATCGGATAAGGGATTTAAACACCCACATCCAAAATGTAATACCGAAAACTCTTGCCTGTTATTTGTCCAATCCTGCAAGTGCCCAAATTGCCAAGACCCATTAACGATTTTAAATTTTCTGTCTTACCACTTTCACAGGAAGGAGCCTGGTTCTCCAGCTGAGTAGTTCAAGCACTCAGCGGGCAGTAGGGAGATTTAGAATTGACATTTTGTAGGGTTGATCCGGTTTAACCTGAAATAGAAATGAGATAAAAAAGAGTTCTGGAGAAAGAGTATTGGATTACAGAACCGTTCCTTTTATGAGAGCACTAATGACTTGGCCAGAGAGGTGTACGCTGGCTTGCGCTCTCTGCCTCGGGTGAGAAGCCCAGGTTGGAGCCTTTGGTCTCGATCCCCTGGTCTACATGCACAAGATGCTGTCTTTATAGTATGCTTCATCTAAATCTTGTATGCAACTACAGCCACTTTCCTGGGAGATTAGTATGATGAGGGTCCGCATTCACTTGTGAGTCTTCACTGCTCTCTCGAGTATGTAATGTCTCTTGTAAAGGCAAAAAATATTTAAAATCCCGGAGTATCCGGGAACTCACAGTGATTTACCTGTGAATTAAGACGGTAACTATTCAACCTGCTTGGTGTGTTGTGGTGGGGCAACCATGGGAAGGGAGATTAACATTTACATTTTCAAGACTACTTGTAGCTTTTAGGAACTTTTTTTACACATTACCCATCTTCAGACATGTTGATCAGCATCAGCAACAGAAATATTGCAGCAATGAAAACTCATAGCATTTTTCTCTGGTTTTGATTCAAGCGTTTTTCACAAAGTCACCCAGCTCAAGCTTCCTAACTCCAAGCCTCTGCTTTAATCACAAGGTTCTTATTATTTCTTATCAGTGTGTTTATTCACAGAGAATGATGTTTATTCACGGAGAATGAATCCTGGCACTGCCTGCACTTAAGGCTCGACTTTCTTACCAAGAAACTTAGCTGGTTAAAACTGGGGCAGGAATGTGGGTTGGGAGAGGAAGGTCTTAAATGAAAGCATGACAGTTCCTTGCTAGACTGGTTAAGTGAGATGACTACCCCTATCTGTATCGCCTTCTGGGTCAGGCAAGGAACAGAGACGATTAATAGCAGGACACAGCAACTGAGAAAGCCAACCTAAAAGCAAACATTTTCTGCTTAATTAGAGAAGGTGCAGCTGAGCATAATTTCCATTACTCTCAAATGGTCTTGCTTATGTACAGTAGCTTAGCAAGTAGGCACTATTCTCCATATGTAGCTATGTTACTTGGAATATCCTGAATTGAAACACCCAGGGACGGAGCATAATGCCACCTATTGTGGTCAAGCTGCTAGTCAGGTTTTCTGACAATTTCCACTCTAAGACCTGGTGTTTATGACCTTGCCTCACTTGAACCATTCAGTCCGAAATTTCTCATGGCAGGTGCTGGAGATTTTTGGACAACTTCAGCACAAATTATTCAGTCATTTCTAAGAATGAAATTAGAGAAGCAGTCATTATGGTATCCCCTTTTTGGGTAGTAGTAAAGAAATTCTTATACATGATTTGGATCAGAGATTTTTAATGGACAAGGAGAAAGAAGTGCTTTCTGCTTTTTCTCATGTCTGAGAAACTTCATCCACATTTGCCCAAATCACTTTGATAAATCACAGTGTATCCTCAGTCAACTTGCTGAGCTTCACAGCTAAGGAATCTGAAGACTGTGTCTGCATGGCGTACTCCTGAGCCTGCCTGAGACAGTTTGGCCTACCCTGAAACGTGCTTCTGACCTGCCACTTACTTTCACCGCTTTGCCTGTGCCTCAGCGATTGTCCTGATGGTGGCCAGGCACAACGGACAAAGAAGGATCCTGAGATAAATGTAAAGAAAAACAAAAGGAGAAATGGCTATTGCTGTTAAACAGCTTCTTGGAGTTGATAAGGAATACCTTGGTTAACAAGGAAAGCAGGGCCTAGGAGCTCTCTGAGAAGGATTACGGGATTCATAAAGGTCAGTATCAGGAAGGATCATTAAAGCATTCAACTCAATGCTGTACACAGTGGGCCATTATGCCTCTTTTGAGCCACAGTAACTGACTGACTGAAAGCCAGGACCGGCTCAGCAAAGGCACTAGAAAGAGAAGTCTTAAAGGAAAATGGGAGACTATGACAGCAGGGGAATGGCAGCCAGAGAGAGGAGGTGGACAGAGGGCTGCCTGGCGAGGGACAGCATGCGGGATTGGAGGGAAGGGTAGGACTGGATGTGAATGAGGCTGAGAGCCAGGAGGAGATGGCTGGAAAAGGGAGGTGAAGATTGAACAAAGGAATCTGAGAGCTAAGGGAGGTCAGGATTGGTATACGGAGGTATACAACTGGCCAGGGAAGAAAAAGGTAGATGAGAGAAGCATGAAAGCTCTGTGGGGATTAAACAAGCAG